ATGTGTCGTGTCAGGGAAACGAAACAGAATAAAATTCTCCAGTTTTGAGTTGTTTGCTCGGCGCTTGAGAGACGTACGTACCCATGAAGTCGATGGTGAGGCGGCCGTCGCTTTGCCGCCCGGCGGGCATGCCAAAGAAGGTCCGGCCGTAGGGCGGCTGCACCGCCGGGAAGAGGGCCGGGAAGGCTCCGGTGTCCGAGTTGGAGTCACCGAGGTTGAAGATGGCCGGGAAGCCACACGGAGAATCATCAGAGCGCGCCCCGGCCCCAGCAGAGAGCTTTAGCGCTATCAGCACCAGCAACACGGCGGGCATGAGTTTGGTCGCCATGGTAGTGCAACGATGAGCTGAAGCCGCTCGTCCGGTGGTGCGAAAATGATTTATGCTAGACGCCGGCCGGCTGGTCAGAGTCCAGCATCCGTACGTGTTGAACTGCTGCTCCGACGCGCGGCAGCGATTTTCCTGCTACCAGAATATTGGAGTACCACATGCCATTACTGTTGGACTGGTGGTCAGGATTCATACACGCCGGCAACGGCAGGTCGTCGGAGTCCAGCACCCGTGTTGGACTGGTGCTCCGACATGATCCTATTGCCTAAAGGGATGGGCAGAAGATTCAGCGTCGGATAGCTGCGTTTTGTTGACAAGTACTGTATGTCCTGCCTGGTGTTAGTTCATGCACCACCCGGCCGAGTTATATCCAGAGAGTGACGGGAGTAGGCCAAAACCGTCATGACTTATGTCTGAGAAATTGCGCGGAACAGAGAACACAAAAAAAAGCTACAAATCAAATGTTAGATTTGTTAGCATTGCAAATCCAACGCCCAAGATGATAAATTATGTTGTCGCGAGGATGATAATTTCCCTTCAGCAAACATGGCAAACCCTTGTCATGTTCAGTTTTTTGCTAGGAGTTGTCACGCTTGCTGAATGAAATTGCCATCCTTAATTCCTCATAAAAACACAATTTACCATAAAAACACTTGATTTTCCATACTTAGAAATCTGACGTCGGCTTTTAGCATTTTCAAAGAAAAAAAAAGGAGAACTAACGCCTGCGAGTTCTAACCTGAGATGGGTTGGTACAATTGATGTATGTCTTCATCGCGTGAGAGCCATCGGAAGAATCAAGTCTAATTTTCACACTCCAAGCTCTCAACCACATTGAACTTCAAAAAAAAAAAGCTCTCAACCACATTGTGTGAAATTCCAATCTAGGCGGGGTGACGACCTATATCTGAGCTATGCCGGGAAAGGTTCTGCATGCAAGATAACATCAACCTTTGGTTAAGCATATCATGTAAAAAAATATTGAATTAAAAAAAAGAGAAGAGAAAGACATATTTTTTTTCATAAATAAATAGTGAAGGCTTCTTTACATATAATATGACCTATGCAAGATTTCCTAAACTTTGGTGAAGTATGAACCCTAAAATAAACCCCTAACCTAAAACCTTAGAAACATGGTAATTTTTTATGTGATCTAAATCATTGTTTATATCAATAAGATGATGCACATACACATAAGACCTATATAGCACCGGCTCCATAGCATGCGAGGCCGCGACATCAGGAATGCAGGGCTCCGCGCTATTTGAAGTATCGGCAGCCCCCGATGCCTTAGTTGCAGAGGCCGCGGGCTTCGCCTTTCTGCAGACATAATTGCACAACTGATCCAAAAAATGAAACGTGACATTTGTCCGATTAATTGCAGTTCGGAATCATCAATGAAATTTGCACAAAATTAGATGGAATTCACTCTAATTTCCATATATTACGATAAATGGAGCATGTATATATTTCAGCCAATGAGGGGGGGGGGGAGGGAGGAACTGACAAGTCGATACATTCGACGCCACATTGGTGAGGAGCAGGATAACCAGGGCGAAGATGGCCACCCCGGTCAGCGTGTCGATCCACGCATAGGGCTCCATTCACTCCTAGAACATGCTTGGAATTCTGGTCTTGTTGAAGCCATCCACGATGACGAACATCCCACAGAAGAAGAGCAGCAGTGGGTAGGAAACCTGAAATTTTGTTATTCAGCAATAAGAAACAATGTGGCACCAGATAAACCAACACCATGGCACCATCGGTTGAATCTTGGCCCTTGATTGGACATGGTTACGAAGCTTTGATGCAATTACTAACTGTATGAGATATATAGTCAGTAAACTAAGAAATAGGCGGCTACGAGCAACTGCGACGAAAACACAATCAATTGGACGTGAGTGGGTCATATGTACGTACTCTCTCCGTTTTTATTTACTCTGCATATTAGAGTTCACTGAAGTAAGTTTATAGAAAATAATATAAACATTTATCATAACAAATCTATATGATGTGAAAGTACATTCAATAATAAATCTAATGGTATTAATTTGTTATTGTATATGTTCATTTTTTTTAATAAACTTTGTCAAAGTTTCCAAATCTTGACTTTGACCAAAACTAATACGCGGACTAAATAAAAACAGACGGAGTACGGTCCTCATAAAAGTGTTTGACCAAATTTGACCAACCCTGAATATTTTGGTTCTATGGTTGAAAACCTCAAAGTATTGGCTAGATTGTCTGCAATCTCGGGCACACACATCCACCTGGCATGCACACAATCTACTAATCTGATCTACCTCCAATATCGAGAAATTGTTGGCCGCGATCGTGCCATGTACTGCCACAACAAAGAGTGAGAATTCGATGCGGGAGGGAATCCTGTGATATCATAAGGCAGTTGTAAGTAATACATATTGAATTAGTGTGCGGAACTAATCTGAACACATTCCATGTAATAGAAGGTACTCCCTTCATACCATAATATAATACTCCCTCTGTCCGGAAATACTTGTCCTAGAAAGGGACTAGAAATCAAGTATTTCCGGACAGAGGGAGCATCATTTTTCAAGCTAGGGAGTAGTTCAGACTTCAGAGGTAAGTAGAGGCATCCGATAGTTTGCGCACGAGATGATAGATTGTTTGCGTGCGGTAGTATGTACTTAGTTAAGAGAAACTAAACTTCACATTGCAGATTGGTCGACACTATCAACAGAACTATTAATACTTTCTCTATGTTTTAAATTTCATTATTTCTAAGTAATGACTAAATTATGTAGCTTACATTGCAAGTACCAAGTCCGGAATGGAGAAGTGAGAACTTTCTCACCCGGTAAACTTCCGCGTGAAACAAAAAAAAAAGGAAGGTGTGTTATTACAGTTGTCCCACATAATTACAGTTGTCCCATACTTGGTCACATCCAAGGTCTAGAAGTAAGTTTCACATACTTGGTCACATCCAAGGTCTAGAAGTAAGTTTCAGTGGGAGTTCAATGTACAGTGTCAAGGTAAAATCATAAAACAACGAAATAAGAAGGTAAAATCCTCATGAATCTTCTCAATGCCACAGGAAAGGGCGCAGCGGAGTACAGCAGGATTTTAAATCCGTCTTAATGAGATGCGTATGTGTCAAACCTAGAGTTTTTGATATCTCTACAAATGAAGAAGCTGCTGGAGTTGAAGGGCGGCAAAGATGCCAATCTGCCTCGGCTTTGCAGAACAATCATGTTTCTCATCCTTATGCGGAAAACATCATAAAACAACGAAATAAGAAGGTAAAATCCTCATGAATCTTCTCAATGCCACAGGAAAGGGCGCAGCGGAGCAGGCATTTCTAGGAAGTTAAAATGCCACTGAAAGTTTCGTGTGTTTGAACAATTTAATCCTGACCTTGTTGGCATGTGGACCATAAGAGGCTGCTGCCACTGTAATCAACATGGACATGTCACAGTGAATTAAAAGATTTAAGACGCTCCCATCCTGCAGACAGGGGTGCGTGGAAGCTTGCTATCCATGTGCCAGAGCCATGAGTTGGTTGCGAGATCTTATGGGTTTCACCTCTAGCCTACCCCAACTTGTTTGGGACTAAAGGCTTTGTTGTTGTTGTAAGACGCTCCCATCCTGCAGGTTAAGCCCATATAGACCAGCCTTCGGTTTAAGCTAATAGAAATGCAGGAATAGTTCTGGAGTAAATTATTGATGAGAAGCAAGAGCATTCTATTCCCACTGATATCTGGTCTTCTTCGCAGAGCAACTTCGATTTCAGCCACCATAAACATTATTTTCTCCTTCCCCTAGGGAACATTTTCCTAAATCCTTCGCCAGGCTGACCACTAGATAAATTAATTCTTTCTGCTTGCTTGCCCTAACAAAAACAACAGCTCAACGGATATCTCCAGTCAGAATAGTTCTGTAGTAAATTATTGATGAGAAGCAAGAGCATTCCCTTCCCAGTAACGTCCTTATACTGGAAACCTGTCAGTTTGGATCAGTCAGCGGTAAGTATAACATATAAAATATCATTTCGTGCGAAGCAAAAGGAGAGTGTACTGTATAGGTGTACGCGAATTATGGACCTCATTATATAGTGAGGGTAGAAACTGAGAGGCAAATAATGTCCTACTTCAAGTGGATGTCAATAGAATAGCGACAGAGAAAACTTCTCTAAAGTCCTTGCAATTAAAAGTTGTATTGTATTACTTCATCCGTATCTAGACAAATCTAAGACAAGATTTTTGGGACGGAGGGAGTACAGTACTCCCTCAGTCCCATAATATAAGACGTTTTTTGACACTACACATTATGGAAATGTTGAGCAGTCAATTCAACATAAAACCAAGTATTTGTATAAACAGAGATTTGTGCTGAACATCGCAAAACATGATGGCTTACCACCGAACAGATACTCAAAAAAATTGCTGGCTATCCACAGGGGCAACGGATTAAAAAAATCCACCGCCCCCTTCTTAAATCAGAGGTGCATTTTGCTGTGTATATGGTATCGATGAAACACCCTGTCAATGTGTCATATCTTTAACATACTATGAAAATGTTGCAAAATAACTAACAGATACTCAGAAACAAAGAATCAGGAAATCAAACCATATCAGCTTACACATCGAGCAAAGGTAAATATGAACTAATTAGTATGTGCAAGAATCATACCTAGCTATTTGTGGATCTTATTAAAATTTGGAGTGATCCATACGGGAACTGGCCAATTCAACCATGGTTGGGGAGACACCACATCATTGGCAATTAAACCCTCCAAATTTAACATTCCAACATCCCAACGATTGTCTTTCGCATCCAGCAGCCAGTACTCGTCATCATCAGTGAAATAGACATGGTTCCGCAGCAGGCTTAGGTAGTCCTTTGTGGAAAGGCAACAAGTGTAGTTGCGCCCGATGAACAACGCGTCATCCCCCAAATTCCGCACACGAAATGTCTGCTGCTTTTCAAGGTCAGCCCTGTATATCTCAATACCAACTGTATGCATCTCTTCTTGCTCACCACTTGTCTCCCTCTTGTACCTCCATATTTGCAGCACACTGCCAGACGAAGTCTTGGATATGTACATATTATATGCCTCGAATGGCGAAGTGTCCTTGAAAATCATATCTCGGGCGGCACGAGGACCTTCAATGGCGTAGCGATGGATCCCTCCGAGGAGATTCATCGCATAGAGCGCGCCGTCGTCGCCAAATATGCAGTCGGAGTAGTGCGGTGGTTCACCGGGTGCCGAAGGGATCCAGTGCCACTTGTCATCGCCGACCCTCGCGAACGAGAGATCCCTATAGGGATTGTGAATCACCACGGCAGTGCAATCCCCCAACGCGGGATCGCCGGACAGTACGACCTTGAGATATAGGACACCCCGGAGCTCGTCTAAACCATAGGGCTGTGGTTCGTCGCCGTTTAGTGAAAGGTCGTACCTTTCGAGGTTGCCGTTGCGGTCGAAGACGGGGCTCACCTGCTCGATGGTGGCGACGGAGGGGAGCGCGACCTGCTCGCCGGTGGCGGGGTTGAGGAGGTGGAGCTCGGAGCGGGCGTCGGCGGTGACGAGCCAGCCGTGCGAGGAGCCGACGATGTTGCGCTCCCCGATGGGGGGGTCCGGGAGGCGCGCCCTGTAGGCCTTCTTGTCGGCGAGGCTGAAGAGCTCGGCGGCGCGGGGGCCGGCGGCGGCGCTGGTGTAGAGGAGGCAGGGGGTTTGGGGGCGGCGGTAGATCTCGAGGCGACGGAGGGCGCGGGCGGTGGCGCGCCAGGCCGCGCAGACTGCGGCGGCGCGGAAGAGGTCCGGGAACTCGAGCTCGCCGAGGACGGTGGTGAGGACGTCTGGCGGCAGATTGGACCAGTCGGGGCCGGCCGCCGTCGGTTCCTCCATTGGACAGGGGCGCACGCGATGCAGGGGAGCAAATCGCTCAAGGTTCCCTGCTTCCCCCCCATACAGATAAGAAACTGAATTTCTTTTACAACAAACAATTTTAAATTCTACATTCAGAATACAAAATATTTGTGAAGAAAAAACATTCCTGATACTCAGAATATTATTTTTGACAGCATTTGAAGTGTGAAATTTTTGACAGCATTCCTGATACTCAGAATATGGGTGAAAGAAACAAAATCGATGCTTCAAAAGATTATTTTTGACAGCATTTGAAGTGTTGATTTTGTCAATATTTTTTCCAGACCTCCATGAATATGATTTCCCCATGAAATTTGCACGCAGAATCAGACTCTCCAAAGAGATTAAAGCATATCTCCAAACATATCTCAGGTAGAGGGTCCTGAACTAGGTGTCTATATACAAAGGTAATAAGGATATAAGATTTTACTCAGAATCAGACTCTCCAAAGAGATTAAAGCATATGTCATGTTTGTGTTTTGTTTTCTTTTGATATAGGACAAAGTACAGATGATCTACCCTAAGATTGTTGTGTGTCCTAGATACCGGGAGGGTTTGGGGTTACAACACATTAATTGGCTAAGTATGAGGAAACTGAGTCTCCGACGAATTCTACACCTTGGAGTACACGACAAGTCTTCGAGAGCCTTCCATGTTATGCATCACGGGCCACCTGTCGTGGCCCAATCCGAACCGACGTGGGGGTTCTCGGCAAGGCCCACCAGGCCAGGAGACGACGTGGTGAGAGACCCATAGTCACTCAAACCCTGGTCGCCACCGCATCTACTTCACCTCTCGTCGCCGCCAGGGCACGCTACCGGGCAAAGCCCGTGCGACGCTGATAGCAGCAGGGAGGTCCTGATCAGGGAGCGGCCTACTTGTGGCTGTGTTGGAGGGTTCTGACGGGATGGGCGAAGGAGATGTGTGCTCGAGTGGCAGTCTTCATCAGACGGTGCTCGACAATGTCGTTCGTGATCCGGCAACAATCCAGTGGCTGTCCGGCCTATCTAGTTCATCGGAGGGGAGTCGGTGCATGGTCCTACAAGGCAGCAAGCTGGAGATCAGACCTGGACCTGTCGTGCAACGGCATGGGTGATTTTTTTTCAAGTTTTTTTATGATGTCTTCGAGTTTGATTTGGGACGGCAAGGCAGCGACGCTATTCCCATGTAGAAAAAAAAGTTCTCCTCGCTCTTTTTCTCCATTGGTACGCTTATCACATTTTGAGGGCATGTGGATTCGTGCCTTCGATCGATGGGTCTTCTGGCATCTGGTCGGTATAGGTTTTTGGTGGATTCGTATGGACACGGCCAGCGTTCGTGGTCTTTAGAGTTTTTACGGGCCCTTATCAGCGTTTTCTTCTACGGGGTGGTGACTTGCTTCGCAGATCGCTGTCGTCGATGTCTCATGGTCTGCATCGACGACTTTCCGCCGCTGCTTCTACAAGCTCCTGGGTTTACAAAAGTTTGCTCCGTCAAGACGAAGGCCCAGAGGCTCCATCGGGCTATTCTTTTGGCACATTACCAGTGGATGCAGAGGGA